TAAGCGATATAAATTTTTCAAGGTATGGGAGCTTTTTCAAAGATATTTTAAAAAGTCCCATGCCTTGAAAAATTTATATCGCTTAGGTACAACATTCAGAAATTCTGAAATTTTCTCCACAAGCTAGAATTTCTGAATGTTGTACCTAAGCGATATAAATTTTTCAAGGTATGGGAGCTTTTTCAAAGATATTTTAAAAAGTCCCATGCCTTGAAAAATTTATATCGCTTAGGTACAACATTCAGAAATTCTGAAATTTTCTCCACAAGCTAGAATTTCTGAATGTTGTACCTAAGCGATATAAATTTTTCAAGGTATGGGAGCTTTTTCAAAGATATTTTAAAAAGTCCCATGCCTTGAAAAATTTATATCGCTTAGGTACAACATTCAGAAATTCTGAAATTTTCTCCACAAGCTAGTCTAGCCGAGGTCTTTATTTGGGCAAAGTTTCAGATCGAAATTCGAAAATCTGATTTTGTTGGGAAAATGAGGTCCTGCAGAGAAAATTTAATAAAAATTCGATATCTCACGAACAAAGGCGCGAGGAAGTGCATCCTTGTCAGGATTTTCATGTCTCATCGAGGTATAGTTGTGGTCAATATATGGGCTTTAAAACGCTTGAACACCTAAATACCTTCCCTCGTTAGTGAACATGCAAAAGTGGGATATTTAGAAACCCGTCAAGAGCTGTCGACTGAAGAGATTCTAATCCGTTCATTTTGCAACGCTGATCAGGCAACCGGTTTGGAAACACTTCCAAAACTGACAAATAAGTTTTAACAGAGTAAGGACAAGTAGAAGAAAAGGTATAAAGTTCGGATTTTTCGTTGATTTAAAAGTTTTACAATTCTGTCGAAACTTATTGAGTTTTACAAACCGAACGAATTAGTATCTCTTCAATCTTGATAAACGTCGATTGCGTTTTCGCTCAGGAGATAACTCGCCAGATGTTAGACTCCGTTTTCGGTGATAGAAAAGTAGAGAGTGTCCTGAAAAAAAGCCTAAAGGGATTTAGGCCCATGTTACTTCTTTCAAAAGTTATAAACTTTCTTTTGTATGCAACTTTCTTTTGTGCAATAAAATTGTTTCATCACCGGATGAACGTGCTCGAGTACTAAATCGCCATTTTGCTAAAATATGTACAGCTGGTACATTATCTACGTGTCCCTCTGTTGCAACTTTGTCTCAATCATCTATAGTTATGTGCAACCTTGTTATATGCGTAACTGAAGTTTATGAAATTCTCGTACATTTAGACATAAGTAAAGCTACAGCTCCTGGCATTTCTAACAAAATGCTAAGGGAATCAGCTGCTGTTATTGCTCCTATTGTTACTCGCCTCTTTAATCAATCACTCAACAATAAGGAGTTTCCTACTATTTGAAAAACTGTACAAATTTAATCATATTCGGAATAAACGTGAAATTCTGTATCGACTGATGTATAATTTGAGCTTGAGGAAACACTACTGTTGGTAGAAATATTAAGGATTTTTTTAATAAGGATTTTCTCATATGTCCTGGTTGATCACACTTACTACATATAAGTAATTTTGGTGAAGGTAGAAATTCATCCACGTCATATAGCTGACCGCCTAGCGATATTTTGCCACTGTTCAAAATATTATCACATTCGTCTCCTAATAGTATATTAACTCGGATATGACGTGAACGATGAGTTTTGGTGCCCATCCTTTCTTCGATCATGTATACTGATTTCCATTCGTTCATGATATCACTCTTCGCTTCACTAAGCGTTAAACTGTTGTCAGTGAATTTGAGTATAATGGCATGTCTAACAGGTAGCTTCAATGGCAGTAATGGTGTTAAAGTGACATTGTTTATACTTGATGGATAATGTAGTTTATCACAAAAGAAAATGAATTTTCAATTGACTTCGTATAGTACAACTAGTTGCCATTTTAATCAACGATAAAGTGGTCGAAACCTAATGGGGGTTTCGATCGATAATTCAATCGACGAAAGTTCTGCTCAACTTTGTTAATAAGTTCCTTTACCAACTGTATACCTTCTTGCTGGTTCGCCACTTATGGGTTACACATAATTCTTATTGGTGGAAATCTATCCTCACGTCAGTTGCAAAACGTAGCGCCTGATTAGACATATATATTTGTTGCTGTTGTTGATCGGATATGTTCCTACCGTCTTGATTTCGATTGTCTGATATTTGCCCGTTTTGTATTGACACTGTAGTACGTTGATTGAGTGACTTTTCTGTTTTTCTATTCGAATTATTCCATTGCCGAGTTCGAATTGTTTGATTATTATCGTCTTGTTGACGGTGTTTAACGTTGTTCTCGTTTTGATGATTGCGGTAAGTCCGCTTAACATTCCAACCTTGATATTGCCGTACTGAGAGTCGTTTTCGAAATTTTCGTTTGCCGGCGATCGACTTTTCGTTTTAGTCGAATAGCTCTCCTCTGGATGATCCGAATAACTTGTCGCATCCCTTACCGTCTTATTCCGTTGAGGAGTAGACATTTCGTTATATCTTTGATATTCCAAACTCTGCATGTATGTCATAAATTGTTTTAATCACAAATCAATATAGTTAATTATATTAAGTCGATTTAACAATTGTAAAGTAAAGATTTCACAAAGACACGTATAAATATACGTATAAACGTATATGTACAATACGAGGAGAATGTACAAATATCCACTCTCGCGTGTAAAAAATGAAGTATGAATGGCGAATTTTGTATTTTTTCTTTTACTTTATCAAACTTGCCAGAAAATCTTTTTTGACCTTACTCTGGATTTTGAAATTACATGCCCTCCTCCTGCTTTAACTTCTTCGCGCCACTACTGGACAGAGATTGAAGTAACAGGTCAGGCTCATATTCACACCATATATTATATATATATAGACTAATCTAAAGTTAAAAGGAAAAGTTCTAACATTGCTTCATTCTATGGATTATATGATGTATATGTATGCTTATTCTATAAACAAAGTTACTTTGTCTACAGAAATCAAAATCTGAAAAAAAAATTGTGGTCGTTAGATGGGAGAGTGATTGATTGTCGTATAAAATAATGGTATAATTAAACAAATTTCTAGAAAGTTTCGCCATAAACAACGATTTTCCATTTTTAGAACAAATGAGAAGAAAGAAGGCGACGTATTTATAGAGTAGGTAAATGTTAATAGACTTTGCAATTCTTCTAAACTTTCTTTGATCGTTATCTGTTGTACAGACAACTTCTCCATTATTACATGACGATGAGAAAATCATCATGAATTCAAATAGGAATTCGCATGATATACGATCGAGAAAAGATTCATTAATATCTTTAAAATCAAGACAATCAGTCAAAGAGGAGGATGCCGTGAGACCGTAAGTTTGCTTCTTTATTTGTTCTAATCATATACTGTACATACCCGATATTCCTACATACATACAAATAACAACAGATATTCCAGACACATCAGCAGATTATCATTCATCAAGAATGAAATCATTTTGGAATGTGTTTTTAAAAATGACAAATATTCACGTATTAAAAGATCCAAAAATGTTAATTATTTGTTTAGCAAATGTTTGTTCAATGATTGGTTATTATACACCTTATTTATTTACAACAAAACTTGCTTATCAACTTGGAATATCGGAATATCGAGCAGTATTTCTCATTTCTGTGATTGGTAGGTGGAGTAATTAACACATCTGTACGACACAGATAAATACATAACTCTGTACTCTTGCATAGGATTTTTCAATACTGGCAGTCGATTCGCATCTGGTTGGGTTGCAAAACTACCTAAGATGTCCCCGCTAATAGTGAACAATATCGGGTTACTGATAGCAGGTGTAGCCACCCTACTTGTGCCATTATATCAAAATTATCCCTTACTATTGACATACTGCGCCATTTGGGGAACATTTATTGGTAAGTAGAATTCGTTCACGACATAATTTTTAATCAAACTTCACGTTTTCCTTGTTAGCATTTCATATATCATTGAGTCCAGTAATTGTCTGTCAATTAGTTGGTCTTGAATTTTATTCAAATGCATTGGGTTTAAACACTCATGTTTCGCGGTATAACATCATTGACAGCACCACCAGTGATGGGCGCAGTTCGTGATATAACGAATAGCTACAATATTCCGTTTGTGATCGGAGATCTGGCTTTTATACTCAGTGCCCTGATGCACTTTTCACTGCCATTTGTTAATAGAAAACCTACAGAAGGCGTCACATTAAGAAAAGTAACGACAGCAAACTGAATTTATTAGTGCAGAAAATGTGAGCTATCATATAATCAAGTCCGTTCCAAATTGTACTTTTAACTCTTTTATTTTGACAGTTTTGACTGTATTCATGTTTGATATATTCTGTACCTTGTATCAGTTAAAAAGTTCTATGCGTGTCGTAATCCAGTCAAATCCTGAACTTCAGTTTGAACTCTATTTTATGCAAAATGTGTTATTATGTTCTTTGTATATATCTTACCATAATTGTTTATATCTTTCTTTTAATTTTCAGTTTGTACGTTAGACACTATTGACCTTTTTTCAACTTTTTGTAACACTCTTTATATGTTACATGTGCTCGAGTGTATGTAGGACAGCTTGGGTTTTATCACGAATAGAAAGCAGTAGAAAGATAAAACTTTTGAATATTGAGTGCTTTCCGCTGTTTTTCATACACTGCAAATCTAGAATTGAAGAACTTCATGTACAGTTAGAGTATCCTAATCTCAGTCTATGCTCTTATTTAGGTAATCTTATTTGGCCCTCAAAGAATTAATGATAAATGATAATTGTTATTGTAGGCCATGTCTCAATAGGTTCACAGAAAATGATGATGAACCACCATTATCGACTACTTCAGAAATGGTTATCAATTATCAATTTAATACAGACTAATCAAGACTTTCGATGTGGACATGGTCCCTACTTTTTCTACGCCGTTCATAAGCTGTTTGATTTGCAAAATGCTACTTTACTATGATTTTTTCAGAACAGTTTATAGCCTGCATTCATTTTATTTTTAGACGGTCAGATGTTTACTGACAATGGTTGTGCTGCTAAAGCCATGGACACGTTAGAAGACCGCCCTTAACAGAAATTGATTTCTTGAGAATTTTTTGCAAATTCTTTTACTTTTTGCACTTCGTTGAATATGCATCTTTCTAGCTGAAGTTCTGTCGTTAACAGCGGAGCATCTGCTACCAGCTGACCGAAACAAAACGTGAGCAATACACCCGTGTGTGTCTATCTGGCGTGATATGTCGAAAATACTGCGGTTATGAATTGCGCGTTTTATTCTATTCATATCAAAATTTGATGATTTTTTTCTAGAGAAGCGGTATTTGAGATTTTTACATATTCGGAATCAGCGTGATGAGTTACGTTGTACGGCGCAAAGATCTCGTCGGGGTACACGCAAAAATGGGGTCTCAGGAGTCCCACTTAGAATACCACTGTATTCAACGGTATAGTTCATGGTTCAACTTCAAACATGCCGCATTTTATTCGTTCTGCTTGTAGTGTAATTTTTCTTTCTGTCTCATTTTTCCCCTTTCCTACGCATGTATAGAGACAGATATAGAAAGCAAGAAAGTGAAAAGTGAAAAAGTTCTTCTTTTCATAAAAATGCTCACTGCAATCAGTATGAACTTACTCTATATTCTGTCAACTTGACAGATTAAAAAGTTAACGAATTTGCAAGTACCCCTCTCCGTTTTCTGCGTCAGTTTGAGCTACACAAGTTGTGCTCTATGCCGAGCTATTTTTTAGAAAAGGGTACAGTCTAATTTTTGAGATACAGAGCTGTCAATGCACCTTCTGTGTGCACATAGAAATAGATATAAAGCAACAAACGAAGACAAGAACAAATTTTATCGTTTTACCCAAAAGGAAAATCGCATTCGTTATAAAATGAGTATATATTCTGTCAACTTGATAAATTAAAAAGTTAACAAATTTGGAAGTACTCCTCTCCAGTTTTAAGACAATTTGAAGTACACAGACTGTACTCTATGCTGAGCTATTTTTTAGAAAAGGGTACAGTGTACTTTTTGAGATACAGAGCTGTCAATATCGCTGTCAATGCACCTTCTGTGTGCATGCAAGATAGAAATAGATATACACTTAGAAACACTTAGACTTAGACACTTAGAAATAGATATAAAGCAACAAACGAAGAAAAGAACAAATTTTATGTTTTTATCCAAAAGGAAAAACGCACTCGCTATACAACGGGTGTCAAAAGAAAGTTTGCACTGACTATGAAATTAGTGTATATTCTAGCAACTTCCCATATTAGAAAGTTAACAAAGTAGAAGGTACCCTTCTCCAGTTTTTCTGCCGGTTTGAAGTACACAAATTGTACTCTATACCAAGCTAATTTTTGGAAAAAGGTCTCCTTTAGCTTTTAAGATGTAGAGATCTCAGTACCATAGACTAAAATTAGTAAAATATATTGATTTCACTTTAATTTTAGAATTGCACGAATTTGGAATGACCAACATAACTTTAATGATCACTTTTCGGAATATTATAGTCAAAGAAGCCCAAGTTCTACATATATTTTTTGCATAAATAAATGTAGAACTTGGGCTTCTTTGACTATGATATTCCGAAACCTGAAGGATTGACCTGAAGGATTTGAGGTTTTTAAGGTTCTGGACCTCGAAGGGGCACCTAGAAAGCTTGGACCAAAACGATCTTTTTACTAGATGAAGACATGCTTTTTCCAACGATGTGCCATTCAAGGCAAAATTTGATGTAGAGAGTGGGGTTTCGAGTCTTGGAACCCATTGTATGGAGGTTTTGAGGCTTTTCGGAAATTTCTCACTTTCTAGCCACGTGAATTGCGCGTTTTATTCTATTCATATCAAAATTTGATGATTTTTTTCTAGAGAAGCGGTATTTGAGATTTTTACATATTCGGAATCAGCGTGATGAGTTACGTTGTACGGCGCAAAGATCTCGTCGGGTACACGCAAAAATTCCGGTTTTTAGATAAAAATTTTGCCAAACTTTTTCAATATTAGCATATTCGGATTCAGCATATCGAGTTACACATACGAAAAGTCATGTCGGAAACAAAAGAGCACTTTTGTCGAAAATTTGGGGCAAAAACTCGAAAAACCCGGGTTTTGAGTCAAATTTTATTTCGATTGCCATTTGGACAGGCCGCATTTTTTCGAGCTGCAGTTGCGATATTCGTGATCAACATCAAATTCTGAGTCAGACAACGTGTTTTTCAAAATTTTTGGACAAAAAAAATTTTCGCTTATCCCTGAGGGAGACCCTTGCCGTGATTTTTTGGGCAAAAAATATTTTTTCAAATTTGAAAGTTCTGAAAGCGCTATCTTATTCAGAATTTTATGCTGATTCCAAATGTGTATGACTTATAGCGAAATGTTTTAGGACGAAAATCCCACTTAATGGCCCTCCTCCGTTTTTGACCTATACTTTTTATTACATATTCGGATTCAGCACATCAAACTGTGGTTATGAAAAAAGTTTTAGAGAGTTCTGCCCAAATTTGACCGAGTTATGGGTATCTTAATCGGAGCGAGTCAAGGAAACCTTCAAAAAGTGACCTTTTTGATAGTTCGCTCATAACTTCGTCACATTTTGTCCGTTCTTTTCGAGCGACATCTCATATGAAAGAGCACCTAAAACTGCATCAGAACGTGTACTTATAACTGAGTTTTCAAAAGTGAATTTTTAAAAACAACATCTCTGAAAAGAACGTCTGTTCAAAAACACGTTTCTAATTTTCTGAAGCCGCTTATCACTTCACCAAAGATTTGGTAGCTGGATCTTGTAGAGAATTCAATTCTCTACAAGATAGGCTGTCTTTCAATTTTTTATTTGGGGTACAAGATGACCAAAAGGGGGCAACAAGATGTATTGGTGAACTAATACAACGCGAAAAATTCTCGAATTAAATTTTTTTTATAGAATTTTTTCAATCAATAATTATTTACAAGAAACTGAGAAAAGATGAAATAAGCCTAACAATAAAAATAACATTGATTCAGCACAACCGTAACAGCATCAAAAATAAAAGTAATGAGGCTCGGATAAAAAAAAAGCCGATCATTTACACGAGCTTTAGTTCATTAGCTAGCGGTTGAAAGAAAGCCTGATGTGACTGATGGTGTGATGACCTGGCCAAGGTGTACAGGCGAGATCAGCAAGTGCTCACCACCGTCACTTCAGCATTCTCTCCCCCGCTTGCAAAAAAACAAACTCGTTTTCTCACAGAACTAGTTTAAGGTTTTTTCTTTCTCAATGAAGAACGTTTTTTGTCGGGTAAATCCTGATTAGATGAATGGTGTTTTACTCCGCGTTTCAGTGGCTGTGCTTCCTCCTCGTCGCCTTCATCAAATATTTTCTCACATTTTTCGTGCATTGCACTGCGAACAAGAACTTCTTCTAAAGCCTGGCCGTCTCGAAAACTTTCTTCGTCGTCTTGCTCTTCCTCATCGGCAGTCTTCTGCACTTTGACTCCTACTTTGGCTCGCTTGGATTTTTCTCTTGAGAAAACCGATCTTATCTGAGCGGCACTCAAAAACTCAGACACCGAAAAGGCAAACTTTCCGTCCACTTTAAAGTTATGCATCATATCAACCACAACTTCCGGCTTCCAGCGTGTAGAGGTTTTCAAGCCTTCGTCAAATTTCTGAGTTAGAAAATCTATCTGTTTTGAAGTGAACCGAACAGTTTTACGCTCTCTTGGAAGTGCCCAACCTTCTTTTAAATTTGAAACATAGTTGTCTAACGCGTTCATGCGATCCTTAACACTAGATGACTCTAACATCAAAGAAATAACTTCTTGATCGCCAATTCTTTCCAGTTTCGAATGAAAAAGTTTCATGGCTGTATCGGTGAGGACACTTCTTTCTGGCTCGCGCACACAGACACCGACATCCCAGTGGCGCTCTAAGTTTCCAGAGTTTAGAAATTTTTTTACACAACCTTCTTCGCCGCACTCAAACACAGGAGCTGATTACTGATCAATCCATTTCTTCTCTTAGAACAGAAGTTGATCTTAAGTCTAAAAGAAAAATAAAACAAAAACCTAAGAAAAATCACCATCAGAAATCTTCTGCACCATCTTTATCATCTTCAAATAGTTCCTTAACAGGAAGTGACGCTACGCATTCAGATAAAAGTGAATTATTAAACGTCGACAAGAAAAGTAAAACTTTGAAAAATAAGAAACATCATCGAAAACAACATGCTTCTTCTTTTTCAAGTAGCGGTGATGATAATGATTCGTATTACGGTGGGAAAGAGATAACTTCTGAATCTCGAAGAAAAAGAAAATCAAAAAGAAAGTTTTCTAATTCTTCTTCACGACCAACTGTTCTCACTTCACCGGCAACTTTGCAAGTTACCATTAATGATTCAATTACTCGTTTCAGTGGTAGAGCGAATGAGCAGCCTAGTAAGTTCTTGCATGAGTACCAACAGACAATGCGAACGTTATTTCGGGCTGGTGATTCGTAATTACTGCGGAATATTAGTAATTGGCTCACAGGTGCAGCTTTCCCAAGGTCATCATTTGCCGGATACGTGGCATGAGTTTAAAAAGTTGTTCTTGTCTCGTTTTCGTAGTCCTGAAAGGATAGAGGCTTTGAAAATTGAACGTAGCCGTTGCGTTCAAAAAGAAAATGAAACAGCAGCTGATTTCTATCAAAGATATTTGGGACTAAATTTGGAAATTAATCATAAAACCAAAGAAAATTTACCAAAAAATACTTTCTTCGAAAATTGAGACTAGAACTCGTTCTTTGGATGAACGGTGATCCGGCAAGGATGTCCTTGGATGAAATACTCAAAAAGACCAAAGAAGCTGAGATACAGTTATTATATCGAAGAAAAGAAGAAATCCAGAGATCTCTGCCTATTAGATGGATTTCTACCAATTCTGATTGCGATAAAGATGAAGGAATTTCGCATGAATTAACGACATCGTTAACTCACCAGCGGGTGCGATTCAGAACACCAGAGAGAAGAGAGAACAGTTGTTGTTGCTAATCTTGACGCGCCTTCTTTTCCATCAACAAATTTTTCTGGTCAAGAGACTCAGATAGCTAAATCTTCTGTTTTGCCAACTAATAACGATAGAAATCGACCAACTTTTCCTCAAAACCGGCAAACAAATTTTTATGAACAAAATAATAATAATACCGGGGGTCAGAATAGTAACAATAACAGTCCTCGTCTGCCCTTTTCTTCGAATAATTCTCCCAATTTTAATCGTTCAAATCCATCAGCGGCAAATCATAATAGAGAACCGCCGGGACGGTGTCCAATTTGTCGTAAAAATGGACATTGGAGAAGGGATTGCAGAGTTCCTTGCAGTATTTGTAGAAAAACCGGACACAGTGTAAATTATTGAAATTTTAAAACCAATGTGGCTATCATATTAAGAATTTTAATAAAAAGTTTTAATGAAATAATAAAAAATAAAAATTAAACAATTAAAACTAAAACATTAAAAGTATAATTCGATGTTTCGACCTGTTAATACGGTCATTTTCAAGTTTCTCCTCGTACAGGATGTTACATAAAGTTTAAAACAAAATAACTGATTGTATATTATCTAGTGTTTTTCTAATCCAGGCACACACATCACAAAAAAGGATGAAAA